CCCTTGTCAGGAGGTGCACCTTTTCCAAGGACCCATTCTACTTTCAGGTGTCACTCGACTTTCGTGCCTCCCCTAACATTTCTTCCTGACCCCCTCCTCCACCTGGAAGCCTGGGCAACAGGAAGCAGGAAGTCGGGGAGAGACAGAGTCCGGAGGACCAGGGAGACTGAGGAGAGCGGGCGAGGAGGCTGGCTGTGGGGCCTGTTCTCCCTTCTGGGTCCTGGGGACGCGTGGGGTGGTGACGCCTGGTGCAGGCTCAGGCGTGCTCGCTGAGGTGTTCCCAGAGCACTGTCCTGGCAGGAGTCTCGGCCCAGCAGGCCTGGCCGGGCCATCTGGGGCTGGTTCCGTCCTGTGGCCGGTCATTCCTCAGGACTCATCCAGCCCTGGCTCTGCAGAGGGCAGCGGGGAGGGGGGCAGTGTGCAGACCCTGGGCTCCATGCCAGGGTCACCTGCCTGGCACCTGGACCCGGACCAGAGACCTGCCATCCTGCCACTGGCCCCGGGCTCCTGAGCTGGGGACACAGGCTCAGTGGATGCACTGAATAAAACGCTGGTGCAGGGAGGGAGCTCTGGGGTCACGGGGTGACATTCAGGGGATGAAAACCTAAAGGCTAGAGAGGCGACTTCATCACAAGCTGCTGAGTGTGGGTCCTGGCCCTGCTCCTCCCTCACCCCAGACCCCTGCCCCAGGGTCCACACAGGAAGTCAGGGAACTTTCTGTGGTCCAGGAGGAAAGAGTGTGTGGTGAGGGGCAGCTGAGTGTCCCTGCCATTCAGGACACAGGCCCTGCCTCCCACAGGATGCCAGCTTGGGCAGGTGACTCCCCAGATTCCTGGGAACCTGGTGTCTACAACGATGGTGATGATAACGAAGATACCTACCTCAAGGACAGTTGTGAGGGTTCCTGGGGGCTCTGTCAGTGGCCCATGCAGTGCCCACGGGAGCACACAACGCACTCTTTTGGCAGGTTCTGTGCCCGCACTTCCCAATGTCAGCCTGAGGCTCCCACAGCATCAGCCCAGGCAGGTCCCCCAAGACTTACATGTTTAGGGGCCATCATAGTCTGTCACAAGACTGGGAAGAAGTGACTTCGTGTTGCCCTCCAGAGACCTCCTCTTTCTGGGTTCTATATTCTGCCTATGGCAAGCAGACCCTCAGGAATGCTCCAGAACATGGACTTGCCTCCCAAGTCCCACCCCCCGCAGTGCTGGGAATTGAACCCAGGGCCTTGGGCATGCTGGGCCAGGGCTCTACCACTGGGCTACATCCCCAGGCCCTTTTGGAAATTTTCTTTTGAGACAAGAGCTCCCAAAGTTGTCCAGGCTGGCCTCAAACTTGAGATCCTCCTGCCTCAGCCTCCCGAGCAGCTGGGGTTGCAGTTGTGTGCCACCGTGCGCGGCCCTGGCTCGTCTTTCTTATCATGGCATGTAGGTTCCGAAACATTAGCACAAGGACTGATGATCTAGGCCAGCATCGCAAGTGTTGAAGAAGGTGCAGGAACCTTGGGACACTGGCCGCCTGGGACTGGGGCCGGCTGAGCCTTTCTGTTTACAGATTTCCTCCCTTGCATTCCAATTTTTTTCTGCAAAAGAAAAATATTGACCCTTGAGATGCAGTTTATTTATTTGGCATGGTGAATAGTCGCCTGTGTTTTGAAGGATGATTTAATTTCGGCGTTGGCCCCTGTAATTTACACAGCTTCCCGTGGGTGTGTCTGACTCTGCAGCGGACAGGGTCTGTGGGGGCGGCGGAGGGGCAGAGTGGTCATTAGAAAGCCGGGCGGTGGGACCCATGGCCCTGTTGTCTGCTCATGGGGCTGAACAAGGCAGCCCAGCAGCTGTGCACACCCTGGCGAGCGTCCCCAGACCTCAAAACAACAGCACTGCCCACGTCCACCCGTGACCCCTGGTCTCCTACTCCTGAGTCAGAGCCTGTGGAAACCTCTAGAAGCAGCTGAAGAAAACCCAGTATGGAAAGTAACAATCCACACTGAAAATATAGGGGGTAACCACAACAGGGTGACTTTTGCTAAGACTTATTTATTTATAGTTTCTGTTTGTTTTTGTTTCTATTCAAGAAATACGGGAGAAGCCTTAAGAGGTTTGTAAACTATGGCCCACAGGCCAAATCTGGCCTTGAGCTAAGAATGCTTCTGTGTTCTCAAATGGTTGAAAAAAAAAATGTAAAAGAAGATGATATTGCTGAGCATGGTGACGCAACCTGTAATCCCAGTGACTCAGGAGGCTGAGGCAGGAGAATTGAAAGTTTGAGGCCAGCCTCTACAATTTGGGACCCTGTCTCAAAATAAAATATAAAAAGGACTGGGGTATATAGCTCAGTGGTAAAGTGCCCCTGGGTTCAATCCTCAGTACCAAGAAGAAGAATGCTATTTCATGACCCATGGCAATTATATGAAATTAAAATTCCAAAGTCCATAAATAAAGTTTTCTCACAACACAGTCATGCCAATTCATTTATCATCAAAACTGTTTTCCCAGTGCCAGGCAGAGACAGCGCAGAGCCTGCAGGGTTTACTGTCCAGCCCTTGATGTTGGAAGATTGTCTGACCCTTGACTTGAAGCTAAAGTGGAATACCTCTCCATTGAAAAACCTATTAAAATAAAGTTTCATGAAAAACTTAAAATTAGCCAGGTATGGTAGTACACATTTGTCATCCCAGGGACTCAGAGGCCAAGACAGGAGTATCACAAGTTTGAGGCCAGCCTCAGCAACTTAGCAAGAACCTGTCTCAAAATAAAAAGTCAAATCAGGCGCAGTGGTGCAGACCTGCACTTCTAGCAGCTTGGGAGGCTGAGGCAGGAGGGTGGCAAGTTCAAAGCCAGCCTCAGCAACTTAGTGAGACCCTGTCTCAAGATAAGAAATAAAAAGGGCTGGGGATGTGGCCCAATGGTTAAGCACCCCTGGGTTCAATCTCTGGTACCAAAAAATAAAAATAAATAATAAATAAAAAGTCAAAAGGGCTGGGGGTGCAGCTCAGTGGTAGAGCATCCCGGGGCAGGGGGAAAAAACAAATAAAATCATAACGGAAGTCAGGGGGATAGTAAGATGAATTTTCTGGAGCTTATTAATAGTGAAATGAAATCACCAGTTTGGCCAATGCGGGGGGTGGGGGGGGGGGGCTGGGGGTTTCTTCCACCTGATCACAGCACCCGCCCTTGTCGTCCAGCACCCTCCCTCCTAGTGCCATCCCCTTTGCCCGGGTCACCCCTGCCCCCCACCGGGCTCTTTCCTCTGGTGTGCACTGTGTCCTAGTCTCTCTGCTGACCTCAACCTGGTTTTGAAGTCTGGTCTAATGTTTTCTAAAATGGCTTCTTGGAGCCACCCCTTCCTGCCCGTCTCCTTGCCTGCCCTGTGGGGTCCCACTCTGACTGTGTGCCCGGACCATCGCCGTCACCTCCCTGCTCACAGTTGCCCCGTTGACCTCAGGCACCTCTTCTGGTGCTTCCCCTCCCTGTGAGTAGGGTCCAGACTGGCCCCCGTCCAGCTCCAGGCTCTGCTCGTCTTAGTGAGGAGGAGCAGCCACAGTGCCCGGTCTGCCCGCTTCTCACTGACTGGGTGGAAGTGCAGAGGGACCCAGGAGAGCGCCGACGGCCGCAGCCTCTGATCTGGGTGTAAGTCAGGTGACAGAAGCCACCTGTGACCATACGGCCTACCTCAGAAGGGAAGCCCGTTTCCGTCTGCACAGACAGAAACTCCGTCCGTCTGCGCCCACGTTGCCCTTTAGGAGCCGTCTAGACCCAGTGGCGGGAACTGAGGGCCACTTAGAACTGGTGCTCAGTGGCCTGGCCCCTGTTGAGCTGCCCTGACATGTGTAGCATTCTGTCCCTTCTCACGCTGTGAGAGGAACCAGCTGCCAGATAGGGCACGCGTGTGCAGGCGTGTGCACAGGGGCCGGGCTGGCAGTGTGAGGTAGCCAAAAGGGAGGGTTGCACCTCACCGAGCCTGTGCTCTCCGGGAGTCCCTGGAAGGCGGGCTTGCCCACGTGGATTTTGCACCCAGGGATCACCATCTGTTAAAGATGGCCTGGGAAAAGGACTCTCTCCACCGTCCCTGGAGACCTCCAGTGCGGCACACAGCTGTGTCATCCAGGCCCTGGAGCTGGGAACCCAGGGCTGCAGCCATTCACAAAGGCAATGCCAAGTATTAGCCACAAGAAGGGCGCAAGGGGTGGGGGTGGGGTGCTGCAGTCACGGAGCCCTTGCCTAGGTGCTGTCCCCAGCTCACGGATTAAATAAACAACAGCAGGCACACCTGTAGTCCCAGCCACTTGGGAAGCTGAGGCAGGAGGATCAGTTGAGCCCAGGAGTTCAGGGCCACTCTGGAGAACATAGTAAGACCCTGCCTCTAATTAAAATGAAACAAGCCGGGGGCTGTGGCGCACACCTTTAATCCCAGCAGCTCTGGAGGCTGAGGAAGGAGGGTCAGGAGTTCACAGCCAGCCTCAGCAATAGCGAGGCACTAAGCAACTCAGTGAGACCCTGTCTCTAAGTATAATACAAAGTAGGGCTGGGATGTGGCTCAGGGTTCTAGTGCCCCTGAGTTCAATCCCAGGTACCCCTCCCCCCAAAAAAAATCCAAGAGTTGATTTGGGGGGCCTGGGATGTGGCTCAGTGGTCAGGTGTCCCTGAGTTCAATCCCCAGTACCCCTCCCCCACCAAAAAAAATCTAGCATTTTCCTTCTGAAGAAGTGGAGAGAGCGCTGAGAGTAAGGGCTCAGGTCTGCAGAGCCTGCCTCGCACAGTGATTTTGAGTGTGAGCTGGTGTGACGCTGGTGACTTACAAACACACAGAAATGTCCCAACACTTGGGCAGAGCACAGGTTGAGACGGGGCACCTGCTCCTTGGAAAGGGGAGTGGGGTGGCCAAAATCTGCCTGCCGTGACCTGGGGGCGGGCACTCTCTCCCTGTCCCCACCCCAGCCCAGCACTCCTGGGAACTGAGTCCTTCAGCTCCTCTCACCCTGCATCTCCTCCTCCCAGGTGAGCCTCGCACCAAGATGGCTGAGCCGCGCCAGGAGTTTGACACCGCGGAAGACCACGCTGAGGGCTACGCCCTGCTCCAGGACCAAGAGGGGGACGCAGAGCACGGCCTGAAAGGTTAGTGGACAGCTGTGTGCAGTAGGCCAGGTGCCTGGGGAGCACAGCCAGCCTCTTGCTTTGGCAAGGGCGGGCAGGGGGCCTTTGCATCCTGGTCATTGGGCTTTTTAACACCTCATTGTATAAGATGTCAGGAGCATGGAGCCTTAGTAACTTGAAGGGGCCAGGATCACTCAAAATGTGAGGCTATTTCAAAATTTACCTTTCCAAAGGAGAGTTTGCCACATGAGTGGATGGAGTGTGACAAGCTTGCAGGGCTCAGGAATACAGGGGCCCTTGACGTCTCAGCCACACCCATTACCCTACAGGTCTATGCTCCTGAGCATGCGAAATGCCCAGTGTTGACCTGTACTTCTACCCTCCCTCAGTGAGGTCCGCCTGCGTGAGCTTCCAAAATGTCTGTAACACAGTCTTCTGGCCACACTGATCTGACTCCATCCTCAAACCCCTAAATGCACAGCTAGATACGGTGGTGATTCAGCCAGACACGGTGGTGCACACCTATAATCCCATCGACTTGGGAGGCCCAGGCAGGAGGATCATCATAATTTCATAGCCAGCCTCAGCAACTCATCAAGAAAAAAATAAAAAGGGCTGAGGATGTGGCTCAGTGGTAAAGCACCCCTGGGTTCAATTCTGGGTACCGCTAAATGCCCGTGATTCATTTTGCTGTGTGACCACGTGTCAGGGAGATTGGGACGCTCCTGGGGCTGCCCCTCTCCGTCTTCTGGAGCACAGAGCTGGCCCAGGGTGCTGAGCTGTGTGACAAGGAACTCTCTCCATGGGTCTCCACTGCAGTCCTGTGGGTGGACGGCTCAGTCCCACCCACCACCAGACCCATTTCTAAGGAGACAGAATGGAGACCGTCTACATTTCTCTTTTTAATGCTAAAAATTGCAGCTGGGGTGCGGGTGGAAGTCACAGAACTCCAAGGTTGGAAGTGACCTCTGCCAGCTGCACCTATCCAAGGAGAGTCCTTCAGGAGGGGGCATCACAGGGTCCCCCAGATGTGGGGAGCAAGGGGACCAGCTCTCCTGCATGTGGAGCAGCCATCCCCCCTAGAGAGTTTTGGTACCTGCTCAGGGACCTGATTCCAAGGCTGGTTTCTCTCTCTCGGTGTCAGCAGGGAGGCCTTGGTCTAAGATGCGCTCAGGAATTGTAAAGGTGGGTTGAGGGCAGGGAGGAGGATGTGGGCACCCTCCCGGAGTGCAGAGGGAGGGCGTGGGGGATGCAGGCTCCAGCCAAACCTCTGTACCCAGTGTCCTCACCAAATGGAGACGAGAAATTGAATAACTAGATTATTAAACTCTCATTCATGGAATCCAAGTTAGAATCACAGCATACTGAATTCATAGGGAGCTCTTCAAATACTGAGTTGTGCCAATGAAAAATGGCACTGTCTATAGAGGTAGGGAAACCTGGCTTAAATATTTGGTTAAAAATATATGTTGTCTCTGGGCACAGGCGGCACACACCTGTAATCTCAGCAACTCAGGAGGCCAAGACAGGAGGATTGCAAGTTCAAGGCCTGCCTCAACAATTTAGTGAGACCCTGTCTCAAAATAAAATACATAAAGGACTGGTGCTCAGTGGCAGAGCACCCCTGGGTTCAATCCCCAGTACCGTATATTATATTGCAACAAATGTACCATAATAACGTCAGATGTTAATGATAGGGCAGCTGGGTGTGGAGAGACTCATATATATTTTCTGTATATCTAAAAATATACTAACATTATAAATTCATTTAAAATCAAGTCCCATGAGGGGTGGTTTTTAACCACTCTTATTTTTTGCACTAGATTCAACCTGCAAACTAAGAATAATTGACCAAGCTACTTCGTGTTTCTGGGTTGCCTTAAGTGTTTGTTCAAATTGCTATTCAATTCTTTAATATAAGACGTGATCAGAAGTTCTGTGCTCTCTCTCTCTCTCTCTCTCTCTCTCTCTCACACACACACACACATGCTGCAAAATTTAAGTTGCTAACCTTTTTGAAATACTGTGAAAGGAGAGGACTCGAAGACCTCTAGCTGACCCCAAGATGTCCTCTCCAGGACAGCCAGCGAGACCTAAGAGACTTCCACAGTGTCACCAAATTAATTCTCGCTACTCAGCTTTCAAAGGAGCTGTTTTTATGTGGGGAGCTGGAGTTGGCAGAAGGTGTCACTGTACTGACAACACTTTAGATAAGTGACAAAAGTCTATTTTGAATAGTGACAAGAAACTGCATGTTAAATACCAGAACAAAGAGGGTCTGAGTGGGTGCTAAAAGCTGCAGTGGGGCGGGGACAGCCACAGAGAGCTATATGCCAGGTACGCTGGGGACACCAGGGACGCCGGGGATGCCAGGGACGTGGGTAACTGAAGAAACAGTGGCCTCCGGAGTTGAAGGCCTCGCGGATCTGCTGGTTAGACCTTCCTGACATTGACGAGGGGCTTTTCCCTCCCTCCTTCCCTCTCTCTAAGGAACTTAGCAAGGATAATGCAGTTGGAAGAGTGGGCAGGGGACAGGTGCCTTGTGCCGTGGCTAATGTCAAGACCACACGCAGTCTGCAGGCTGTGGCCTCGTCATTCAGCCAAGACCTGCTCGAGACAGTCTGCAGGTTTTTACAAGCTCCAGGACCAAGGAGCCCGGCATGAGTGAGAAGCTTGTTTTGAACCAGCCAAAGGGTGTGGCCAGGGCCTGGTGTCCAGGGATGGCCTTGGGACCAAGTGGGTGGGTGTCTGATCACACGGTGCACTTGAACTCCATCCGCCTTTCTGACATCTTCACACTCTGCCCCATCCTGAAACTGAGGTTGCCCCTGCCCCTGGTGAAGTGGCCTGGTCAGAGTCCACCAGAGCCTCCCCATTTCCACTGAATGCCCCAGCCCCACCCTGTACCTCTCCCGGTTCCTACACTGCTGTTGGAGACTCTGCCACCACCTGGTCCGCCGTGACCCCAGCCAGTGCCTACACCATCTTCAGCTCCCCAAGGACACCACCCACCTCTCCCTGGGCCCAGGCGCCCTCACCACAAAGCTGGGTTTGGAGACAGTCGCCCTGTGGCCTTTGCGTACTTCTCCTTTTTTGCTGTCACCCACTGTCACCCTTAAGGCCAGGCTCAGCAAGCCATGGCCGGACAGGCCAGATCTGGCCCCTCACCGGCCTGCATCCAGCCGCCAACTGAGAACGGTCTTTATTTTTCACACAGTTGAGAAAACCTACATCCTGAGCATGTGGCTTCCCCCCCAAGGTGGCTCACAGGTGGGAAAGGCAGCTGGAAGGGGAGGAGGGGACAAAGGGAGCCCTTCCCCACTGAGCTCCTCCCAGAGAGATGCCCTGTCCAAACACTTCCCCTGACTTCCCACTGGCCATCCCTGCCTGGCCAGGAAGCTGGAAGATGTGTCCTTCTGACGGGGTGCAGCTCCAGCCTGAATCACCTCAGGATTCTGTTTCCAAGGTGGGTTGAATGGGCTGCCAGGAAAGTCCCCTGTGCTTGTGGGCTATGGCTACAAGTAATGCTGGACCTTTCCTCAGATGGCCAGAGTCCACTTGTCCATCTGTTACAATGATCAGCTACCTGTTGGGACCCCCAGGGACTCCCAGTCAACATCCACATCACTGTCATCAGCACTGTGAGTGTGCGGTGCTACGCTGGGCCCTTCAACCAAGGTGGCATCATGCTGAGTGACAGCAGGCACCACCACTTACCAAGGGCTTCTCACACGCAGGCCCCACGTGGTGCTGTACACAGAAGCCCCCTGAGAGGGTGGGCCTGTTTCCATGCCCAGGAGACTAAGGCAGAGAGAGGGAAAGTCCCTTGGCCAGAGTCACACACATGGCAGGCAGTGGAGCTGGATTTTGTCCTCAACACAGCAGCATTATAGGCAGCAAAGGGAACAGTATGAAGGGAGGGGTCCTAACACACAGGGGTAAGCAAGGTCACCAAGATAACAGAGCAGCACTGACCTGATGGTGGAGATGACACTAGGCACCCTGGAGTGGCCTCTCTGGGCACACAGGGCCAGGCTCAGGAGAAGAGGAGGGAAAGTTGGTAAGAGTCAGCACAAAGGGTTCAGAAACTCCAATGTGAGCTTCCCAGATTTCCATCTCGTCATCTGTTCATCCATCCAGCCATCCAACTAGCCACCCAGACATCCCGTCACTCAATAATCCACCCATTCATCCATTCCTCTGTCCCCTCTTCAATCATCCATCCACCCACCCACCGTTGTTTGAGCCGTGGCTTACAATGAGGGTCATCTAAGTCACCAGTGGGACTGAACTGCAGGGACTTCTTCACATCACTGAGATTTGTGTCCCACAAATGCAAATCCTCAGGTTAGCAGAGTGCTTCCCCCATGAGATTCCCCCCAGCAGCTCCAAGAGGAGGGGGCAAGTAGGGTCGATGTCATGTCACTCATTTTATAAATCAGAAAACTGAGGTCCTGAGAGAGAAGTTCAAGGCCACCTGCTTAGAAAGAGGTGGAACTGAGATGAACCCAGACATCTTGGCCCTTTTTTTCCCCAGGGCTTTCTAGACTGTAACGCCTCTTCCTGTTAGGAGACCTTCACGAGGACAGTCTCTGCTGGCCTGGGCCTGCTCTGGGACAAGCTGGCGCCTGAGCCCGTTGCTCCGTGTGGCCACTCTCTCTCCCTCATTAGGCTGTGTGCCCCTGGAGACAGGCTGTGTCTTTTGAGCATCTGATTTGCTCCGAGTTCCCAGCCTCGGCTGTGCACACGCCAGGCGCTCAGCAGGCCTTCCCCTGCTGTATTTGACAACCTTGGCTCATCCAGCCCCAGAAGCTGAGTGATGCCTTGATAAACCCATAGCGACCAGAGCAGATTGACTTCTGGTGCCAAGGTGCCACACCAAAGGGGGACAATGCAGTCCTTCCTGGAGGAGGAGGAGAAGACAGACTTCTTCATTCTATTAAAGCCCACAAAAGCCACCTTACAAGGGTGTTCATGGTGGAGGGTGTGGCTCTGGATGGTTGGTCTTTTGGGGGTCCATGGGGAGCTTTCCATGAAAGGAGCTGGATAAAGTCCAAGTGGAAGCAGGCCCTGAGTCCGCCCTGGGCCAGTTCTTTTCCGAGGCGGGAGCTGGATCTCTGAGCATTTCTCCGGGTGTCCACTTGTCCTTCGTTAACAGCACTGGCAATCAGCAGGTTCTGGTATTTGCCGCCATTTGTCAATAGGAGAGCCTTTGTCTCGCAGGAACTGGCTGCTGGAAGGGCAGTCTCTCCTGCACCATCTAGCGTCCCCCACATCTTCATCTGGTCACTCTGGTGTGGGGTACAGTTGTGGGGGGGGTGGTGCTGGTCCTCTTTGTTGTTTGCTCACATGGTCGTGGGGTCCACTCTGAGGGGTTTGCAGCTCCAAGGACTCTGCTCCCGAGTTCAGGGAGGCCTGGGGAGAGGCCGCCGTCCTGAGGGGCTCACTGTGTATGTTCCAGCGTCTCCCCTGCAGACCCCCGCCGATGACGGATCCGAGGAACCCGGCTCTGAGACCTCGGATGCTAAGAGCACCCCAACGGCCGAAGGTGGGGCTCTCCCTCTTGCTGCTTCCTCCAGACACTCCCTCCCTGCCACCAGCCTGCGCTTAGCCGAGCTTTGGGCCACCGTCCCTCATGCGCTATGCTCCAGCTGCATTCGCTGTCCCCTCTCCCACGGGCTGAGAGCTGTGCTTGCTGGATGCTTTGCAGGACAGGGTTGTGGGCGCTGGGCCCATGCACAGTTCCACAGAGCCCCTGTCCCCAAACCATTGTCCTCCCACAGCCCCTTGTGAAGTTACCCTTTGCTCTTCTTTTGGGGGCCACCAAGGCCCACAGCAGCCATTTGTTTGAGGAAGGGGCAGGTCAGTGCCCATCTCTTCACCTGCACCTGGGGCCTGGTCTTGGTTTGGTGTCCTTCATTTCTTTAGCTCTGGGTGTGGCTTGGGCCTCTGCCCTGGTCAGCCTCTGCTAACCTGTCCTTTCCAGGCATTTGAGACCAGGTTGTTACAGAGTCCCTGTGTACTTCCTGAAGTCTCCTTAGTCCTGGTTTTGATCACCTTCTTTTGTGGTCTGTGTCAATCACGACTACATCTGGAGCCAGGTCCAGTGGTGCACACCTGTAATCCCAGAAACTCAGGAGGCTGAGGCAGCAGTTTGATGCCAGCCCAAGGAACTTAGCGAGACCCTGTCTCAAATAGAAAATAAAAAGGTCTGGGGATGTGGCTCAGTGGTATAGCACCGCTGGGATCAACCCCTGGTGACGAAAAGAAAAGAAAAGAAGAAAGTGGCTGTCAAGTGGCTGCCAACTGCCTGCTCTAATAGTGAGTCCCAGCGGCTCTTACCCCTGAGGTCCTCAGCCTGGAAAAATTCCCATTGCTCTCCCGAGAGCCCATGATGTCAGACATTTCCTGCTCATCTTGTTAGGACAGTTTTGCAAGTTGCCTGCACCCTGAGAAAGTCCTAAAACACTATCCAGACCTCATGCCAGCTTCTCAAACCTTGGCTTTCGGAGCTTTCTCCATATGACTCTAGAAGAACCTTCCACCCATGCCCCACTGTGCTCTGGGCTATCCGTGTCCGGCCCCAGGCGCTTCGGCTCTCACCCACAGGGAGAGGCTGGACTTTGCCCAGCTGCTTGGCCTGGACCCAGCAAATGATGAAAATGGCCTTCATTGAACTAGGCTGATTTCAGCTCCTGGGAAGCCTTCCAGGGTGACAGCTCCTCGGGTGTGCCCAGAACACCTGGGGTGACTGGGCCAGGAGGAACACTGGCCTGCAGAGCTCACCTTGATGGGGCGCTGACCGCAGCTCCTGGAGGTCCATCCTCACTGCCCGCCTCTGCTGCGAAGCTCAACCACCTCTGGTCACGCACCAGCTCCGGGCAAGACCAGGCCTGGTCATTGCCACACCGGGGCCTCTGCCCTCTGATCAGGGGTCATGAACTGGAAGAGAACTCTGAGACCACCTAGAGATGGCACAGATGGGGAAACTGAGGCCCAAAGAGGACAAAGAACTTGCTCAAAAACCTCCCAGCAAAACTATAGGCCCCAGCCCTATGCCCAGGGTTCCTGCACTGCCCTAGTCCCAATCATGTCCCCCTACACCGCCTGGAGGGTCACACATCTGGCTCTCAATTGTTCTGTATTGTTCTTTACTTAGGTTTTAGGCAGACGCAATATCTTTATTTGATTTTTATGTGGTGCTGAGGATCGAACCAGTACTTCACATGTGTCAGGCGAGCACTCTACCAGTTGAGCCACGACCCCAGCCCTCAATTGTTCTTCAAAAACAGTGCTTAGGTGGGGTGGGGACTGCTGGGCTTGCCTGGCAGGGCCTGGTGTCTGCCTGCGGTGACATGCTTGTTGGGGAGAAGGGGCAGGAGCAGCTCTGGGTCCTGCTTTGTGCTGGTGCTTTCTTGCATGTGGCCAGGTCCCCTCCTGACTCCCCCTGCTCTGCTCCTGCATAAGCAGCGAAGAGAGGGGCTGGGTGTGGCCCGCCCCTCTGAGGCGATTCTCGGTGGTTTCCAGACGTGACCGCACCCTTAGTGGATGAGAGAGCCCCCGGCGAGCAGGCGGCCGCCCAGCCCCCCACGGACATCCCAGAAGGAACCACAGGTGAGGGCGACCCCAGGAGCCAGTGCTGGGCTGACCTGCTGCTGGGATGGTGCACTTTGGGTCATCCTGGTGTCCGGGCGAGGCAGGATGTGGGCGACCCTGGCTTCTGGGACTCTCTGGCTGTTGGGAGCCGGGGCCTCGGGGCCTGCAGCCTCCCCGAGGACTGACAGCCTCTGGATTCCTCCTGGAGCCTCCTCCCCTGCCTCAGTCAGCGCATCAGCTGCAGAGTGTGCGGGGCTTTCTGAGGCAGGTGACAGAGCCAGGCCTTCACACCCCAGGCATCAGCCCTCCTGCTCCAACTCTGCCCAGCAGCAGGTCACCCTCCTTGGCCGGTTTGTCCGGAGGAGCACCCGAGCTCGAAGCAGGGCTAGATTCCTCCACACTTTTTGAGGGCTTCATGGGGCAGTCCTGGGAGGATCTCGGAGAGCGACCTGGCATCCATTTATATCACTGTTGCCCTGGACACAGTGTTTGCAGAAAGGCGAGGAGAGGTACCCTGTCAGCGCCTATGACAGGGAATCGGACAGAGAAGGGTGCCGACAGGAACAGCCCTGGCTCGGGGCTGCCCAGTTCTTAGAGAGCTACCTCCTGGGGTCCCCAGGAAAGGGACAGCTCAGCTAGGGTCCCTGGTGTCCTTCTCTTTGTGTCCTCTTCCTTGGCCTTAATTGGAGAGTGTCCAGCAAGAAATGCAGAGGGCCCCACACACCTTGGGCCAGCCGTAGAGGGCAGGTGGAAGCCGGCAGCAATTTTCTTTCCTTCCTGGGTCAGTGCTCTCTCCCAGCTAGAATTGAGAAGCCACTGGGGGGTCAAAGTGCGTTTCTCCTTGGCCAGGTGATGGGCAGAGAGGCCTTCTGAGATGGCTGGGGGGATGGTCCCCAAGTCTGCAGGGCTTCAGTCTGGAGCATGAAGGTGCTCAAGGACCTCGGAATGGGAGCTCACAGAGTGTGCTTACCAGTGACTTGATTTTGTCCCCTGCTGTCCCTTATAGTGTTGTCGGTGGGGGAGTTTGTCCCCTGCCCAGGATGAGAACGTCAGCCAGCTCTTGACTTTTCATGGATCCTGGGTAATCGGGGGCACCATCTGACAGCCAAGCTCCTCACACTGGCCGAGCTCAGGCCCTCCCCTGGGGTGGCCTGGGGCAGGTGGGTGTGATGGGCGGCAGGCTGGCCTGGTGTGAGTTGCTGTCCTCCCTGGCAGGTGTTGACAGAACTCTTTCTCTCTTGGTAACCTCATCTGAATTCTTCCGGGCTCTTCTTTCCTTATTCCCTATCTCTTGCCGCTGTCCCCTGAAGACCCTCCCTCTGCACTGGATTCCAGCAGACTTCCTGTCCCCTCTCTCCTGGACCCAGCAACAGCTCACCTCTGCTGAGGGTGGCTGGCTTCCACTGGTGGCCTGTTAGACATCTGAGATGCCCTCCTGAGCCTCTGACCTGGCCGGCATCAGATCCATGGGAGATCCCAGCAGCAAATTTGGGGTACCCTGCTGGCTGGACTGCAGTGGTGCTCCTCTGCTCAGCCCCGGAAGCATCCCCTCTCCCACCCCATGGTGTTCCTGAATGGGATCCTAACAGTGCTCACTAGGTCCCTGGCCAGAGGGAACATGTCAAGTGTCTGTCTCCAAATGATGCCTTGGAAACCACAGGGCCACCTCCCACCCCCAGCCCTTTCCACCCTCGGTGTGGTGGCAGGTTTTAGGGTTCGGTGAGCGTTTTTTCAGTTGTCGACAAGATGTGCCTTAGTTTAGTACCTCGTCTTGGTGCACCCTGTTTGCTGTGTCTTGTGTTCCAGTGAAACTGCCCATGGATGTCCCATGGGGTGCAGTGTGGCTGCCACTGCAGGAGTCCTGCCTTGCTGGGGAGCAGGAAGCCCTCCTGCTTCCTTGAAAATGCCCCCCAGGGATATCAGAGGCTGTTAGCTACCATGTCACCACTGCCATGCCCCCTGCCCCTCTGGGGTTTTTCTGAGTGTCCCTCCCCCTCACCAGGGCCTTCCAGTTCTGCACCACCAGGCCAGGAGGTCGCAGTTCTGCAGTGGCACAGGAAGGCCTTCATCTGCCCCATGGCAGGGCAGCATCCCGGGGTCCTCCTTGTGCCTGCTGCCTTGCAGACTCCGTGGCCGGTTAGCTGGATGGTTAGCTGGACGTGCTGTCACTGAGTGCCTTTCTTCCCTTTTCATCTTCTTCCCCAAACTCAGACCAAACTCAGCTCAGAGCTCCTGAGCCATGGGCTAGCATTGTCCCAGTGCTGTGTCATGGGACAAGAAGCTGTCACCATTGAGACTAGCCCAGTGCTGTCTGTGGGGGACCCAGAGGGTGTCCATGCTGATGATGGACCCCTCACATGCCGCCTCCTTGCAGCTGCCCTGGGACAGCCAACCAGCTGGGTAATTAGGAGGCCACCGTGTGGCTGCCCAATGACCCTGGGTACTTCTTTTCCTTGCCACTGTCTCCACGGCAGAGCATGCTGGCAGCTCTGCAGGTCTGGGGACTATGCTGATGGCCCAGCCAAGCTCGCAGGCATTTCTCAGAGGCCATCACCTCTCGTCTGGCCTCAGGCAGGCTGGTAAATGCTGGGGCAGAGGTCAGTGTGTGGCCTGCTGCTTATGTGCTCCACCTCAGGCAGTTGCATCCTGTGTTCTAGGAATGAATGCTTCTTGATTTAGGTCCCGTGGATGTTGTCAGGAAATTGACTCAGCTTTCTTTGTTTGGGGTGACCAGTGGCTCCCTAAACAGGAGCTCAAGACCCCCCAAAAGCTACTCTCTGGCACCGCTGGCTTCCCTCTGGTCAGGCAGCACCCGTTCCTGAAGGGTTTGAAGGAAAGAAGTTAACGAGTTTGGGGCACCTACCCTAGCCAGGCACCCTGCCACACACCTTCACACGCACTCTCTCGCTGCCCCTCCCATCCTCCGGAAGACAAGCTGGGGTCATCTTCCTGGGGCTCCAGATGAGAAAACGGAGGCTCAGAGAGGCCAAGGAGGTGTTGGCCGCAGGCACAATTTGGCCCTGAGTCTCCCACCTGCAGTGCTGACTGCAGGGGCCTCACAGCAAGTGCTTCTCTGACCTCTGGGTCCTGGCATCTTTGTGAGTCATGACTTGTACCCCCTCTTCCCTCCTAGGTGACAGTCACCTGTCAGGTGTGTGGCTTTGGGGTTTTGTTTAGGAAACCGTTGTCATTGCTGTCCCCAGCAGTGACCTTTGCAGAGGGGCCAGGGCTGCAGCCCTTGGTATTCTGAGGATGTGTCTTTCCTGCAGGTTTTAGGAAAGATCTAAGATACAGAGTTGGTTCTGGCAAATAGTAACTGTCTGTTTTTGTCCTCCCTCTGCTGACACCTAAACCAGCCGAAGAAGCGGGCATTGGGGACACCCCAAACATGGAAGACCAAGCCGCTGGACATGTGACTCAAGGTCAGTGGGCCCAAATTGTCTCCACCACTTGGGAATCAAAAGGATAGAAATGTGAGCATTCAGAGGGCCACCCCAAAAAGAGCTCAGACCTGGGCCCTAATTCACCAGTCCAGGAGATTTGGGGGACTTGGTTCTTACCAAAGGTGGGCCACTCAGTGGCAAAAGAGCCCTAGCAGGGTTTTTTTCTGACACCATTTTTGTGTCATTCCTGAAGTGTTCAGTGTCCCAAAGGGAGCTGACCTTGCCCAGCCCGGGAGTTGAAAATAAATATCTGACAGAAATGCAAATATATATGCAGACAAAAGCTGTTCCCATCACTACCAAACTTTTGCATTTGAACTTTCTTCGGTGTAGCCTGCAAACCTTATGATTTTCTTCTCAGGAATTGAACTTGTTCAGTTCAAGAAAAGCAGCTTTCTGTTATTGTTTATCATAAATATGCTAAGAACTTAATTTATAACATCCTAGAGACCCAGGGTCATTTTAGCACTGAGCCACATCCCCAGCCCTTTTTATTTTTCATTTTGAGACCGAGTCTCCCTAAGTTGCTGAGGCTGAACTGGAACGTGTGATCCTCCTGCCTCAGCCTCCTGAGTTGCTGGTATTACAGGTGTGTACCATTGTGCCCAGCTAGAGATTCTTAATCTTGGGAAATGGAGACTTCTGGTATAAATACAACATGGGCTGGGCTTGTTTAGTATCATTTTCTGGCCAAATGAACTGTATGATGTGAAGGCTTCCAGAGTGCAAAAGAGCTGAGATATTGTTCTTTTGTCCAAAAAGTGATGGGGGATTTGAGGCCAGGGTGCTGTCTGTCTTTGGAGACTCTGCCACCCTGAGAACGTGGTGAGGCTAAAGATTCTCATCTCACACGGCATGGAGAGGGTGCCTTCATTCTTAGGTGAACAGAGAGTTTTGGAAACTACTAGAAGGGAGAACAATACACAGCGGGGCCTTGGTCTATATGTGAATTTACCAAAACCCTGGCTCCTGTTTGTGTGCAGGAATGGAATCCGGGTGTCACACAGATGCTGGGTCACCGAGCCCAGCTCCATCCCTCCCATTCCTTGTGATCATGGGTTTCAGCTTAGGTAAAATTGGAGCTTTCGTGAATCATGATCTCCAGAAGTCATCATCTATTTCCATTTTTTTAAAAAAAGTGAATTTGAGTTTGTTCTACAGATTTGGGGTGCAGCCTGTAGTCCGACGGTGCCTAAGACCGTTAAGGTTGTCTCTAGATAGAGCTGTGGTGTGCTGGGAGTCAGACAGGTGAAGGCCTTGACCAGTTCAGGGACACCGGGGGGCCCACCCACCTCCTTCAAGTGACCGCAGAGACCAGGCCTCTGGGAAGAAGGTGGGGGACCTGTCTGGAGGGCTGTCTGCCCTGACTCCGTGGTGGCCCCAGAGCTTGTTGTGTGGAATATTTGCTGACACCTCATGGTGTCCTGGGAGTGGACAGGACATTCTGCCAACTCACTCCTCCCTCTGGGAGCGAGCTGTGTGCTGGGCTCCTCACTGAGGAGCGTGAGCTGCACCCCCGTCCCCCCGCCCCCGTGCTGATGGTTTTCAAAATGTGCTCCCATCCATGTCTGGGGGATTTGTCTCTTTTTGAAGAGTGGCTCTTGAAATCCTGGGGTCCGAACCTCCCAGTCAAGAGCAATCCCTAGGAGGCTCTGGGAGGAACGTGCTTTCTGGAAGGCAGTGGGGACCCAGCCTGTTGAGTGGCGTGGTGACCAGGGTTGCCCTCGCCCTGGGCCCGTGAGCTGGCCCCATGACAGAAGTTCTGGCACTCAGGCTCAGCGTGGGCTCGGGCCATGAGCATCTCTCTTTGGGGCTACTTTTCTGAGAGTTTGACTGAGGACCCCAATAAGGTCCCCAAAGACCCTGCAAGAAGCAGGGATGCGTCTTTTCCTGACACCAGCTGATCCAGGGAGGGTGCATTTATTGATCACCTGCTGTGTGAAGGCACAGTTCTGGGAACACAAAGTGAATGAGATGGAGAGTCTGCCCAGCGTGAGGGTAGAGGGGGATCGAGCTGTGCTGAATCTAGGTGGCAAGCCAGTGTGAAGCCACACCCCTGCTGACGGGTGGGGACAGGGTCCGGTCCACACATTACTCACATGCCCACCGATGCACATGTGTGTGGACACACGTATGTGCTCCCCTACCTTCCCTCCCCTCGTCCTAATCTCTTTTCCAAGTCCCTGAATCCTTGGGGGCCACAGGTCTGGCTCGAGGAGAGTCCTGGAAGTTATGTGGGTTCTTCTGTTGGAACCAGATGGCATGTTCAGAGTTGGGAGTTAAAAAAGTAAAGTGTACTTACGAGGACCGTTCAGAACACACAGCCACATGCTGCACAGAGGGACTCACATGAATGTCACATGAATAAGCCAGGAAAAAAAAAAATGAATGTGGCCTCCATCAGCTGAGTTGGTGCAAATCGTGGTGTGACCGGTTAGAGCAGGCGACCCCTGAGTCTTGGCTACCACCGTGGTCCTGCCTCACCTTAGGCAGAAGGTCTGCTGTGTGACGGGTGAGCTGGAGAGGGCTGGACGCGCTCCCCTTTCATGGAACCTTACGACACTCTCCATCCTTGATCATTATAAATCATGGCTTTCCAGGCTCGAGGCTGGGTGGGTTTGTGGCACCCGCTGGCTTCGTTCATCAGAACGGGAAACAGTCAGAAAGAGTAAGGGGAAAGGGAGCCCTCTCTGACAAGCTCCAGGCCCTGCCAGAGTCTGTTGGTAAAAGGAGAAGTAGTGCCCACACCAGAAGGGGCCTTGGAGGTGACCAGGGCTAAGCCCTCCTTTTATAGAAAAGAAAACTGAGGCCCAGAGAGGGGAGGTGCTCACCCCAGGTCACCCGCAGGTTGGTGGCAGTGAGACAAGAGAGCTTTCGTTCTAAGCAACCAGCCGCGAGAGGAGCCCAGAGCTGTGCTCCTGCCCCGTCAGGGGGCCTGCGATGCGTCTGAGCGTCTTTCTCTTATGGCGAGAGTGACGTTCCCTCTCTAAACGGTTCCTGTGCCCTTGCTAACCTTTTGCCACTGCTACCTCTTCAACCCAGAGAAGGTGAGCGCTCCAGGCCTGCAGAGGGCGGCACCCGAGAGGCCCCCGGCCGAGGTCTCAGTGGCATCTCCGGGTGAAAAGCAGCCAGAAGCTCCCGTCCACGCGAGTGCACACCTTCCTCAGCAGCAGCCCACCTGCCCGGTGCCACCTCCACCAGGAGGCCCTGGAGAAGCCCCCGTGCAGTGGGGTCAAGAGCACGGGGGCCCCGCCCAGGAGGGTGTGGCAGTGGCAAAGCCTTCCTCCCCTGCGCATCTCCACGCGGAGCCCGAGGGGGCCGAGGTTGTCCAGGAGAGCTGGCGCAGGGAGATGGAGCCCGGGCACCGTGAGGGCGAGGCCTCAAGCGCAGGGGCCCCAGGGCTGAGCCCCCAGCACGTCCCCCCCAGGCCCAGGACCCCCATCCCACCTGAAGGCCCCAGAGAGGCCACACACCAGCCCTCGGGAACAGGACCTGAGGACCTAGAGGGAAGCCAAGACCGTGGGCCGCTGGAGCGCCAGTTATGGAGAGACCAGGACCAGGAGGGGCTGCCTCCAAAGGGAGGCCATGACAAAGAGAGGCTGGGAGGCCGGGAGGAGGTGGATGAAGACCGAGATGTCGACGAGTCGTCTCCCCGAGACTCCCCTCCTTCCCAGACCTCTCCAGGAGGGCCGTCCCCTCCGGAGGTCTCCAGAGAAGCCGCTGGTATCTGTGGCTTCCCGGCTGAGGGTGCCATCCCGCCCCCTGTCGATTTCCTCTCCCAAGTTCCTGCAGAGATCCCGGCCTTGCAGCCCACTGGGCCCAGCACAGGGCCCCCGGTGGAAGGGCCCGAGGCTGCCCCCGAGTTCATGTTCCACGTGGAAATCAAATCCAATGTGCAGAAGGAGCAGGCCGGGTCAGAGCTGGATCTGGAAAGGGCCTCACATCTGGGGGCCCCTGGAGAGGAGCTGGAGGCCCAGGGCGACTCTGTGGGAGAGGCCACAAAAGAGGCTGGCCTCCCGGAGCCACCTGAGAAGCGGCCTGCAGCTGGTTTGCCAGGGAGGCCCGTCAGCCGGGTCCCCCAACTCAAAGGTCTGTGTGTTGAGCTCCCTCGCTCTTCCCCTGGCGCCCTCCTGTGCCACCCTGGCTGCGGGCACTGCCACTGGCCCTCCTTGACTCCTGCCACCCCAGGGTTCCAAGACAGCCACTAAACTGGCACCTGGGCCGCCGCTGCTCCCCTCCCTCGGCCGCCTGCCCCTGGGGCTTCAGTAGCACGAGCTCCTCACGCTTGCCCGCCGTTTTGCATGTCACCGACACCCCGCCCCGTGCTTTCTGCCCTGTCCGATTCTCGGACCTCTTGATGTATCCTCCGTGGTCCCTCAGCCCACAGGCAGTGGGTGGATGAGCCCCACAGAGAGGACAACAGCCACCCCCGTTCTCAAGGGCTTCTGCTGTGCTTTACACTCATGTTCTAGAAACTTCCCAACACTCCCAAATAGGCAAAATCAGCCTCATTTTACAAATGAGAAAACCGAGGCTCAGAGAGGTAAAGTAACTTGCTGAAGGTCACCTATACGAAGGGAAGGATCCAGGTTCAGAAGCCAGGTGGGTCTGGTCTGATAGGCACACTCCCACACTCCGCAGTGCCTTCCGCAAGGTGCTGGAGCATGCTTTCCTAATGCAGGGACACAAAGGCTGCGTGCCTGTCTTCTGCTGTCTTCATCAGACATGTCACATCTGGCAGGTGACACCCAAGCAGCAGCATTTGCAGGTGGCCAAGAGCCCAAAATGAGCCTTTGGCCCAACAGCCCCACCCTCACCCCGCCCTGCCTTGTGGCAGGAGACTGAAGAAGCAAAATCTTTCTGGTCCAAAGTGCCTCCTCTACCCTCAGCAGAGACCAGAGACCCCGGAGGCCCCTGCATTGACATCACAGAGGGGTCACAGCCTGGCCCACCTGGAGCACAACCACAGCAGCTTGAGGTCAGGAGAGGTAGGAGGGGAGATCCCCAGTGTCATGGAGAGGACTTTCATATCCTAGGAGAGACTTTGTGGCTCAAAGTGGATGTATTCATAGGTTTAGGATTTTAGAATAGTTACCATTTCAGAATTATTTGCAGGGCCCAGGAATTGATGCTACTTAAGCTCACAGTCATAAACATCTATTCGATTTTTATTAGGTTCTACTTACAGAGCAATCTTTGAAGTGTTACAGATAAAGGAAACTGTGTTTAAGATTTAGGATGGAGTGGGGGGGGGGTGGGAAAATCCTATGGCCTGGTTTAGATTCCAAAGCAGGAGGGGACAAATGACTGAGGCTTGTCAGGGTTTTTACCACAGGGTTTTCTAAAGTGATGTTTTATTGAATCCTGGTCCACCCGATGTCAATAGGTGCATCCAGAGGGGAAATGAGTTCCATGGCCCTGTGAGTTTAGAAACCAAGTTCAGGTTTTGCTGCCGGAGAATTTGTCAGTCTTTAATGTATTAATGCATGTCTTGGCCCTCCAAGGACGCATACTATGGACTTCCCACATTTATTTGATCCTGCCTGGTAACATCTCCTGGAAGAGGGCTCCTTGAGTCCTACCTGGATTGGGGAGATGCCGATCTTGCAGATTCTCCTGTGATCAGATGGTGCTGTTGATTTGAGCTAAGGAAGGAGCATGTGAGTCAGACCCTCTTTGGCTCCTATTCAAAGGCCTGGGTGCCACGTTCGGCCTGGGAGCCACTGTCCCCAGGTGGTTCTGCCACACCTGGGCTAGAGGAGAAGCACCAGGCACTCCAGAAATCCAAGACTGTCACAGCCAGTAAGAAACTCCAGGAGGCTCATCATCCTTGGGGCAAGAGGGAATATGATGTCACAACCAAAGAAGAAAATGTGCTATCAATGTTCGATGATGAGCATGAGCTAGAGGAGAGGCTGGGTTTCGTGGGCGGGCCCCACCACGGACAGCTTCCTAAGCAACAGCCACCAATTGCTGAGCTCCATACCCAGATGTTATCTGTGGGATGTTGGATGCTAACAGTTTATAGCTAATTAAGGATTAGCTTCCTCAGTGGGAAGATCCCCCCAGGGCTGGGGTGGGGGTGGGGATGGGCTTATGTACGCATCCTGGAACTGGTGGCCGAGGTCCCCATTAGTAAGGCAGGTTCTAGGGGTGCATCCAGAAAAATGGGGTGAAGTCATTCCCACCAGGCTCACCTCTGCTGGTGGCAGGTCACCAGGAGCAGGGAGGCAGGGTGGTCAGCATAAGAAGGCAAACGTTAGGATTGCTTATGAACCGACCCCAGGGGCCAGGGGAATCTAAGGTGGCTCCAGTCAGGCCTCAAGGCCCTTGAGAAGAAACCAAGGCTGAGCCTAGCCACAGGGTGGAGACAACCCCTGATCCTGAGGTCCTGCAGGAGGACAGAGACTGGCAGAGCTGTCCCCATCCATGGCTTTTAAATGCCCCTCCATGGAGTGGGCTTGGCCTCCCCTGGGTGGGGCTGACCCCGGCAGAGACAGGGAAAGAGTCTGTGGGTGGGAGCTGGCACTGCCCACCCTCCCAAGATAGCCCCGAGTCCACACGTGCCTCTAACAGCCTCCACTGCGTCTCCTCTGCATGTCCCCGCCCTCAGCCAGCCTGCTGCCCCCTCACCAGGTTGCTCTGAGCAATGGCCCCAGTGTGGTGTGTTGTACTAACAAAGCGACATCTAGCAGATTCCGGGGGAAAGAAACCCCATTGTGTTTCCACCAAACCCAGCTGAACAAAACACGGGCCACTGACCCCGAACTACGGCTGCTCCACCTGCGCACCAGGAGAGTGGGTTGTAACGCGCATTCTCGTTTTATATTTTATCAGCCCGCATGGTCAGTAAAGGCAAAGAGGGGACTGGAAGCGAGGACAGAAAAGCAAAGGTAAGCTGACTCCGGGAACCTCTGATGCCAGTCGCTGTCATGGAGAGCTTAAGCTTTGTGTGCGCGGTAACACACCACGTAGGGGGCATTTGTCACTAGAGAGCAAGTGTCATTTGAAGCGCATTGTGTTTTTCTGCAAGGTTTTAAAAAATCCCATCATTTATCAATTTTGTACCAGAGATGGACTGTCAGAAAGTTAATGACATGGTGCTCCTTAAATTTCTTGCACATCTTACACTTGCCACCCCAGATCTAGGCCCAGCAAATAAATAAATAAATAAATATACATTTTTTATATATATACATATATATGATACAAATGTACATGTATATGATACATAGAAAATGCGTTAGGGCTGGGCACAATGGCACACACCTGTAATCCCAGTGGCTCAGGAGGCTGAGGCAGGAGAATCTCAAGGTTCAAAGCCAGCCTCAGCAACTTAGCAAGGTCCTAAGCAACTCAATGAGACCCTATCTCTAAATAAAATACAAAATAGGGCTGGGGATGTGGCTCAGTGGTCAAGTGCCCTGAGTTCAATCACTGGTACCCACCCACCCCCCCAAAAAAAAAGAAAAAAAATGCATCAAGGAGCTGAGTGTGGTGGCACACGCCTGCCATCCCAGTGACGGAGGCAGAGGCAGGAGGATCATAAGTTTGAGGCCAGCCTGGGCAACTCAGAGAGCTTGTATCTCAAAACAAAAAATAAAAAGGCCTGGGATGTAACTCGGTGGCTGAGGGCCTCTGGATTCAATCCTCAGTACTGCACAAAATAAACAGAATACGTTAGGAGGCTGAGGGGATCTTGAGCCAGGAAGTGGTCTCCAGACAGTGCAGGGAGTCCGGTGGCCCGGGAAGTGAAGGAAGTCAATGAGCAGGCTGCAGCCACGGAGGAGGAGCACAGGACCAAAGGCCTCAGGCAGAAGCGTAGCGGGGACTAGCGACTGGCCCGTTGCTGATCCTCTGTGTGGGCTGACCTGAGCTGGAAGGATATGAGAGGAGGGAAAACTGACCCACTCCTTAAACAGAGTGGAGAAGTGAGGGTTGGTGCAGTGGACACAGTTTTGCAATCTTGCCATAGTGGCGATTTGGGCTGAACCCTCGTCAGTCTTCAACAAGCAATCCCAGGGACAGCAAATGAGGCCACCTGTGTGCCACACGCCTGCCTCCTGAACCCTGCTGGTCCCTGTCAGGCGTTCATTTTTCAGCTGCAGTTTACCCCCTTGAAAATACTCCAGAAGCTTGGTGTAGCAGCACCCACCTGTAGTCCCAGCCACTTAGGAAGCTGAAGCAGGAGGATCTCAAGTTAAAGGCCAAGCTGTGCAACTTGGCAAGAACTTGTCCCAAAGTGAAAAAATAAAGTAAAAAGGGCCGGGGGTCTTTCTTCTTTCAGAGAGGACCCACTCTCTTCCTTGAGTCCACTCTCCCCTTTCCTTTTCCTTCTAATAAACTCGTGTCTGTTACTCGAAAGAAAGACAGGAAAAGAAAAAAGGAATGGGAAGGAAGCAGCTGGGGACGTTGCTCAGGGGTAAACCGCAAAAATAAAAAGGAAAAACGATAATGTTCCCAAAATTGCTCTGCTCAGTTTCCCTAGAAAATCCCACCTGGCCCTCAACAACACCTATTTTAGAGAAAAAAAAAAAATTCTAATATAAATGCTCCTTTTGGGGTTGGGGAGGTAGCTCAGTGATAGAAAAAGGCTATAAGTTCCATCCCCAGCACCACCAAAAAAAAATCAAATGCTGCCTGGAACATCTGGAGTGCCGTCAGTAGTGGGGCCCTGTCAGATCTCCAGGTGCAGAAGGTGGCTTGAGTTTGGGAGCAGGTGTTGAGTGCTGCCACTGGAAGAGCTTGCCCTCTGCAAATTTGGGGTCCCTATCGCACAGACCCAGCCCAGGAAGGCAGATGAGCACCCTGCAAGGACTGAGAGAGCCCTGCCCCTGTGCTTGAGGTCCAAGCAATAACTGTCAATCATTTAGTGTTGCAGAGGGGCAGGGACTGGCTGCCTCGGTGTTCATTCATTCTGCACACATGGGTGCAAGGTCTCTGCCCTGGAGTGGCCCCAGTTGCAGGAGGTCAGCTGTGCTACACACCTAGCCAAGTAGGGAGAAATGCCAGTGGACAGGAGCCTTGCCCAGCTAGGGAAGGAGGGGCCACCAGTAACTACCCCTACGTTTTCAGCTTTGTCACCAGCCCCAGAGCCTCAGTCCTTGTTCCCTTGCCCCCTCCCTTGGGCTCTCCTCCTTGCCAGGGCTGGCACAGAGGGACTCGGCCACTATAGCGGGGAATTCAAGGGTGATGAGGAAACACCAGAGAAGCCCAGTGACATCTCTGGCCAGGTCGCCGCTCTGTGGCTCTGACTCCCTCCCCGGGGTGCCCTAACTTAGCTCTCAGCTTTCATTCCTGAAGATGTGGCCCCAAGTGGCAGTTAGGACAAACCAGGGGTGCCGGCCTCCGTCCATCAAGCCTGTCCTGTAGGCCATTTCATTAGGTGGAACACACAAAACTTTACTTTGCCCATCTTGGAATTTACCAGATAGGAGTAAGACTAGTTTTATTTGAGACTCGATCAGAAAACTTGCATGTGGGTGACCTCAGTGGTGTCAGACACAATCTCCAAGGGTTGGAGCTGGACAGTCCTCCCTTAGGATTGTCCCTCCTATCCACTTGTTATCTTCTCTTTAAAAGTTCTGTCATTTGTGAGTTGGCCACCGTAGCTCATCTAGCTAGCTGACAGATACTTCTGTGATCCTGGAAGGTGGTCGCTTCTCTTTCCTCCTGACCAGGACGGATGAGGGCACCCGTCCCAACAGCACGGGGCTCGCCTCTTTAAACACGCCTGCCTCTCTTCCTGTAGTTTCTGCCCTGTTTCAGTTTGTCTCCCTCCCAAAGTGCTGACGTTCACTTTGGTTTTATTTGTGTTTAGCTGAAGACACCCACGCCTTCCTGTGCTAAAGCCTGAGAAACAGGCCTTGCCTTAGCCCCAGCGCCCCACTCCATGTAGCTCAGACCCTTTGATCAAACCCTCCGGCCCTGAGCCAGCTTCCTCTCCTAAACACGTCTCTTCTGTCACACCCCCAATGGGCAGTTTGGGAGCAGAGGAGGTGAAGCTCAAGGTAAGGAAATGACCTTGGACAGAACCAGGCTACCCTAGCGGGGTTTCCGTGAATGTCCTCTTAGTCACAGTGACCTTCTTTAGATAAGCCCCTGCAGGGTCTTTCCACACAGAATAGTTAAAATTCTAGCTGAAGAGGAAAGGGGCCTCTGGGCCTTGCTTCTCCCGTCCCCCTGCCCTTGGCAGCAGTGGCCCCTGAGGCCCTGGGGATCTGAGTTTGAAAGTCGCCCCTGGGTAGGTTGCTGTGCCCATCCTTGGCTTTGGTAACCGGAGCGGCCTACAGATGACCTGTCCCACGGGCTCACTCCCTCCTGAGCTGGCTAGTGCTCTGTGGTCAGTGCTGGCTGCTTCTTGGAGTTCCTGTTAGGTGCAACAGTCACCTCCTGGGACAGACTCCCAACTGCAGACTGCCTGTGCCGGCTCTTGCTCCTGACCTTTGGCCAGGGTTCACCTGCCAAGCGCCCTTAGCACACCTGAGACCTGCAGGTCGTTTGGGACAGAACAAAAGAACATGACCTTGTTCTGTTTAGTATTTTCAGTCAGATTCAACAAATAGTGTCTCCAGGAGTCTCTGGTGACACCGACACGTCAGCCAGGTACATCCATAAAGTCGGAAAATGAGTGTCCCCATGGGCATCCAGCCCACTGATCAACACTGAGTGGACAACGACCCTGATCTTGCTACAAGCTCTTTTGTCTTTTTATAAAATAACATCAGCACAGGCGAGCGCTGATAACCAATGCAAATAATTCCCCTGGGAGGAAATGGCCACGGGGTGCTTGGTGCTGGGGTGGGGCTGGGCTGTCTGCGCAGCAAACCCTTGAGGTTGTTGGACACATTTGTTGCATCCAGAAGGCAAAGGGTCACCTGCTTTCGCCTCCTTGAGTTGAGGAGGGGTCCTTGGGGCCGGCCTTGACTCACGACAGTCGCACTCCCCGTTGGTGAAAAACACTTTACCCTAATTCCATTTACAGGGGGCTGATAGTAAAACTGGAACAAAGATCGCCACACCCCGGGGAACAGCCCCTCCAGGCCAGAAAGGCACGGCCAACGCCACCAGGATTCCAGCCAAAACCACACCCAGCCCAAAGACACCGCCGGGCACTGGTAAGAAGAATGTTCTCTCGAGTCCTGGTCAGAGGAAGCTCCCAGAAGGTACAGTCCTCTCAGGACGCCACTGGCAATAATAACCCCTGCAGCTGAGCAAGGCCTTGCGGTTTGCTAAGCACTGGAATGTTCTTCGTCTTTGTAATACTTTTGGCAGTTTTCTGGGGTGGACACTAAATCCTTACTTTTAATCAGTGAAGAAATGGAGGCTCTGAGAGTTTGCTTGGCTCCGTCTAACGAACCAGCTCGTGAGGAAAGTGCTGTCACATGACGCGTTAAGTGGCAGGATAAGGGGCTTCTCTGTCTTCAAACCCAGGGTTCTGGGGAGGCAGCCCCAGCTGAAAGTGTTTTCAGGCCCCACACAGGGCATGTGGCACTGTCTCTCTGGAGACAGCAGCAGTCTGGACAGGTCACTCTGGGTGACCTCACACAGGGCTTGGCCCTGAGCAGCCTCACTCTCTGGGTATGTTAGGAATCTTCTGGCAAAACCCAAGGGTCTTAACTGAGCAGTGTCGAGCTGTGCCCATTGTCCTGGACTCCTGTGAGCCAAAGCCAGTCGGTGTTGGATACCCGCCCATTGGGCTGGCCATGTGCAGCTGCTAGGAATGGCAGCCCTCTTCCGTTGCCCTGGTGACCTGTCCCCTGCAAGTGGGTTTAGATGCTGCATAACGTAGGGGAGTGTGGCCTGCATTTGCTTCTGGGCAGCACCCAAGAGGCCTATGGATCTTGGTGCCTCTGTGGTGAAGGCCTGGCCTGTCTCAGTGTCCCTGCTTGCCCAGCCTGCGGTGGCCCTCTCAGCCATGATTGACACTGCATGCTTCTGACCTGGCGTTGCCCCCAGTGTGTGGGAGGGTGGGCTGCTGGTTCGGGCAGCGGGCTTCGTTTTCACCTTGTGTTTTCTTGCTGGGGTTTCCTCGAGCACTTACGATCTGGGGAGAATCAGCAGAGTTTCTAATGGTATTTTCATATGATTTTGAGCCTGCTGCGTCTCTTGGCTTTATGCCAGTTGCTTTGCCTATTGCAACAACTTGGACAAGGGTGTGCCTTGCTCTTCAGCTCTACCTGTTCTTAGGTGGCTGCCTGTAGGCGGATGCGTCTTCTCTGCTGGGCCCTGGACTTGGTTTCCTGCCCCCTGTGCCTGTTCCCTGCCTCCCTGTCCTGGGCCAGATGGGCCAGCAGGCTCCACGTGAAGAATGCCTTAAGACCCTTTAAGCCTGATTATAATGAGGCCCTCTGTGGCTTTTTCTTTTTAAGCTTCCAAGCAAGTGCAGAGAAAACCACCCCCTGCAGGGGCAAAGTCTGAGAGAGGTAAATGTGGGCCTGCTTCCCTGGGTGGGCAGGCTCTGGGCGCATGTCTGCTGCCCGGGGCTTGTTGGCAGGGCTGGGCCAAGCTGGCAGGCTCCCCAATGAGCCGAGGGCTGCTTCCTTCCTGTGTGATTTGTGCAGCTGTATCTGTCTGGTGGACTCTCCTCACAGCCTCTTCTCGTTTGCTTCAGGGACTAGGGCTGTGGGCGTGAGGAGAGGGGAGTATGTGCCGCAAGGCATTTGGGGTGCTGGTTCCTAATCAGGGTTTAGGTAGGAAATTACCTCTGGCCTTCTTAAAGGTGCGTTCTGTGAGCACCACAGCTGGGCTGGACACCGCCTGTTAGGATGTCCCAACTTCAGGACCATCTTACGTTCGCTGGTGCATAAGATGCCTGTAATCCCAATGACTGAGGAGGCTGAGGCAGGAGGATAGCAAGTTTGAGGTTGACCTCAGCAATTTAATGTAGCTCTAAACAAATTAGCAAGATCCTGTCTCAAAAAAATCAAAATAAAAAGGGCTGTGGCTCAGCGGTTAAGCTCCCCTAGGTTCAATCCCTGGTACCAAAGGGGAAAAAAAGACCATCTTGTGGGCACTGATCCCTCTTCCCAGGCTTAAGGAGGGTGATTGACCTGCCCAGAGCCACTCTGCAAGAGATGACATTTCTCAGGTGACCATGACTGGGCCTCCTGTGTCCCTGGAGACAGGAAGGCAGAGGCTGGACCTGGAGCAGAGGCCCCATCGGGTGTTTCCTTCTGGGGAAAAGGCCTCACTTGTCCCGTTGCCACAGCATGTGACCACTCTAGGCACATCAGAGATGTGGAAATTCACACTCTGAACACTGAGGTGCTTGCTGTCACTTGACAAGGGCACTCGCAGACGTCGCAGACAGCACAGGCTGCTGATTACAGCGTTTGTAATTTGTAATGGATGGTTCCTGGCCTGGGGTGGGGAGTGAGGAAACCAGTTTTGCCAGCCCCACACCGTGAGGTTCTGCTCTAGCAGATCAGGATGGGGCCCAGCAAGCTGCATTTTACAGGTCTCACTTCCTCCTCAAATGCTCCAAAGATTTGCCAAAGGAAAAGAAAAAAATAAAATGAAAACTCCCAGAGGTTCTGACCTGGGGTTCCCAGGGCCCCACTTTGAGAAACACCAACCGCAGACAGAATGGCAAACTCTGAAGTGTAACCGGGGCACGGGAAGTGCAGCCGCAGAAGCAGGTGTAGGGGTGAAGGACTCCCAGAGGTGGAGGGACCCAGTCTGCTGGCAAGCAGAGGTCCCGGCTGCAGGGTCGGGGCCTGCAGGTGCTTGGAAAGGGGTGTGGTCTGGCCCGCCCAGGTGTGGGGGATGGGCGTTCTTGGGGAGGGAACAGCCTGCAGGACCTGGTGGTGGGAAGAGGCTTGGTGTGGCCGGTGGGCTCGGGCAGCGAGGCAGACGGTGGACATGTGGTTCCAGAGCCAGGGAATGGGGTAGGAGCCCTGGAGTTGGACTCAGTGGGTAAAGGGCCAGCTTGGTCTGGGCTTGAGGGCAGCAGCTGGGTCCTGTCATCGTGTCACCTTTGGGCAGGGTAAGGGCCACAGTGGTGTGAATTTTGCAAAGCATATTGACACATGCCTCCATAGGCAGCCTCCCTCCCTGCAGGCTCCATAATCCTGTCCATCTCCAATCTGAGGCCTCTGAGTTCAGAGAGGGGTAGTGACTTGCCTGAGACCACACAGCTAGTTGGCCGCAGGGCCATGGCAGGATATTGATGGGATACTGATGAACATTCTGTTGTTGTCCTGGGGAATGGCGTCACTATCCCTAAGTGACAAGGTCAGCAGGAGGAGAGGCTTCTCCAGCAGTGGGCTCCAGGGCTTCCTCCTGCTGAGGTTGCTGAGCTCTCAACATTGTTCCCACCTGCTTGTTCCGTCCTGAGCCTGACAGTGGCCCCCGGGGCCTTTGCTGACCCCCTCCCCTTAGCCTGCCTTCTTCCCTTTCTCCCCAGGTGAACCAGCAAAATCTGGGGATCGCAGTGGCTACAGCAGCCCCGGCTCTCCAGGCACCCCCGGCAGCCGTTCCCGCACCCCGTCCCTGCCAACGCCACCCACCCGAGAGCCCAAGAAGGTGGCAGTGGTCCGCACTCCACCCAAGTCACCATCTTCCACCAAGAGCCGCCTGCAGACTGCGCCCGTGCCCATGCCAGACCTGAAGAACGTCAGGTCCAAGATCGGCTCCACCGAGAACCTGAAGCACCAGCCAGGAGGGGGCAAGGTAAGGCGTGCGGGCTGCTGTGCGTGAGGGCGGACGGGTGGGTCCTGTCACCAGCCTGGCTCAGCTGCCACCCCTCCCAGAGCACCTGCCCTGACCCTGACCTCCTTATCAGGTCACCTTCAAGCCTCGGTGTCCTGCTTGGGGCAAAGCCCTGGTTCTTCCTTTCCCCCGGCGGCCCTTGCTGATCAGACAGAGAGTTCAGGGCTGTGTCCCCTGGCCTGTGGTCCTCAAGGTGGGGGTGCCCATGGTGTGCCACCATCACCATTCAGAACATGGCACCATCCAGAGGTGGCAGCAGGCGTTCGTTGAGCATCCAAGGTTTCTCTATACTCCTCGGTTCTGAGGAAATTTGGGGACACCACTTGGAAGAACTGACCCTTCTGGGGTTAGGAGGGCATCGCGGAGTCTTCGGACGTCCTAAGGATGGAGAAACGTTGAGGGCCTAGGGCAGCAGGACAGGGGACCGGCCAGTCCTCCTTCCTCTGCTCGTCCCTCTTCCCCCTTGTGAGACGGTTAAACAGGGGAGATGTATTTCCTCCTAGTTCTGGAGGCTGCGGGCCTCAGTGTGTCCAGAGGATGGCTTCTGAGGCCTGTCCTCAGCTGGCGGACGGCCACCTTCCCCATGCGCTCACTCGGCCTTCCCTTCATGTACACGTTGTCATCTCCTCATCTAAGGACACCAGCCCTGTTGGATTAGGGCTGCTTTAATGACCTCCGGTCGACTCAGCCACCTCCTTCAATACAGTCACATTCCGAGATTCTGAGTTTGGGGTGTCCACATAAGGATCCGGGGGACTCAGTTCAGTCCAGAACACCCTCCTCTCCCAGCACCCGGAGGAGCCAAGAAGGGAGAAGAGGAGGCGAGCGTGGGGTGTCCACCTCCGTCACCCCCATGCACTGGGCTTTCTGGGCCGGGCCCTTCTGGGGCCTCCTGGGGGCTGCACGAGCCCCTCAGGACCCTGGGTGCTTCCCTTCCAGTTGGGACAGCTTGCCTCCCCCATGGCGGGTGCTCGCCCCACTGTTGAATTTATGTCACTCCCGGCTGGAGCTGGTCACTGCAGGAAGACGGCCTCCGTGCCCTGGGCGCCTTCCTCACCTGAGCTGTCCTCCTGTTGGCCCTTCAGTCCTCAGAGCCGGAGACTCCTGCCCGTGGTCGCTCGGGGCAGCCCCTGGGCCCCAGTGCCGGGCAGTCAGGCCCCTCCCTCCAGGCCGGAGGCTGAAGGCCGGCCGTGAGTCCAGTGCTGGGTCTCGATGTCACCGTGGCTTGGTCCTGGGTCTGTATCAGTGGCACTGGTCCTGCTCCTCCCTGGGGATGCCTGGCTCCTCCAGAAAGGGCCCTGGGCTTGACCTGAAGTTGACCCTGTGGAGCTGTGGCAAAGGGCCCCAGCGGCAGCTTTGGGAGCTGGTGGGGTGGTCTCCTACCGAGCACCTGCGGTCCTGGCCCTGCAGCCGCCGCATGAGCCCTGTGGTCACAGCGCATCAGGGCGCATCAGGACCGCATGCTTCCATCCTGAAGAACGAAGAGGACCCTGTGCAGCGTGGCCACACAGTGCGGTGGCAAGAGGAAAGCAGGGCCGCCCCCAACTCGGGGACAAGTGCACCCCAGCTTCCCGGCTCCGCACGCCAACACAGACCCCCACGAAGTGAGTGGACATGGAACTGCGTCCTCCCTGGTAGAAAGGACATATGGTGCCAGGAGGGTGCGAGCTCACATCATACGGCTCAGCCACAGCTCAGGAGCCCCAGCGCCAGGCCCTGCGCGGAGCCCCTCTGACGGCCCACACAGGGCCACGGAGACAGTGCGGCCTGGGGACTCGAAGTCAGGAAGTTGGATTGATTGATCTCCTGCCCCGGGCACTAATCCTAGTTGGATTAAAGGTCCTGCCTGTCCCCACTCAGGCTCGTGTGTGGCTTTTAAAAGAAAAGACAGCGACTCCGGAGGCTGAGCAGGAAAATAGTGAGTTTGAGGCCAGCCTCAGCAACTTAGCCAGACCCAGTCTCCAAACCAAATAAATGGTGACAAGGGCTGGGCTGTGGCTCAGTGGACAGCACTTGCCTAGCCCATGAGAGGCCCTGGGCTCCATGCCCAGTACTGCGGAGAGGGAGGAGGAGGGAGAAGAAAAGGTTTGTGGGACCCAAGGTCAGGTAGCCCTGCAGAGTAGCTCCAGGCCACCACGAGGCTCTGCCCAGCATGAGCGCCCCCAGCTGCTGTCCATACTTCTATCTCAGGCCCTCTTGTCCCTAATGACCCCAGGAGGCTCCATCTCAGGACCCAAGTGACTGTCACTCTGCAGGGTGCCAGGCTGTTTGACCCACAAGGTGCCCTGACTGGCTTTCCTCCCTCTCCCAGCCTGGACACCCCACTTCAGCCCCCCAGACTGCAATCCAGGTACAGCCACGTCTTCTCCGGACGCGTGGCAGGCACCCCTCCTCCTCTCCCGCCCCCTCCCAGAGTCCGCACTAGTCTCTGCCATGACCTGGCTCTGTCCTTCCACCCCACCGTTGCTGTTCCAGCCTCCCTGTGCCCATCAGACCCTAGTCCTGGACCTTGGCTCTACCAGGCCTGTGCCAATGACCTCCCCTCCTCGCATCCAGATTCTGCCACTTCTCCTCCAGGTTTGGGCCCAGGGCCTGCCATCTGCCCACCCTCCACTCTCCCCTGTGTCCTGCTGGGCTCGGGGTGCTCTGCTCAGTCCCTCCTTGCCCTTTCCCTCTGCCTAGAATGCCCTTCCCTCCGACCTCTCCCTTCCCTCAAGCCAAGCTCAGGTGCCATCTACTCCAGGAAGTCTTTCCAGATTCCCTCTGCCTTCTGAGCCGTAGCCGAGGGTGGAGGCTGAGTCTCATGGCCACTCAGGTGGCAAGCGCTCCTGGAATGGGGGACAGTGTAACTCAGCACCTCTGAGCCAGCCTAGGACTCAGGCGGAGGGGGCGGGAGCTGCACCCTGATGGAGGCAGCTCCCCTGGCAGCCCTGGCTCATCTGTGGTTGGCTGGGAAGGTGGGAGTGCTGGGGACCAGGGGCGTCCTGCAGCTCAGCTGGGAGCAGCAGGAAAGGGGATGAACGGGAAGACGACAGTCCACAGAAGAGGCCCTGAGCTGTCCTCCCATCAGGGCAGCTGGGCAGAGACGGCACATCCTCGTCCACTGGAAAGGCCTCTCAGGGCAGAACTGTGGGAAGGGACCGAGGAGCAGAATCAGCCTGTGTCACGTTCCATGAAGCCTAGAAGACCGTCTGGAACCAAGAAGACCTAGTCCGCAGCCACAGAGGCCAACCTGGGACCCCCAGGGACAGGGGAAAGGCCGGCAGATGAGCTCGGGCCTCCTCCCTCTGGACTGGGCAGAAGGCTTGGAGAGCTGCGCCGAGATCTTTGGGTGCCCAGGTCCACACGCAGCAAGTGCTCAATAAATGTTCAGCTACAAAGAGACAAAGCTGTGAGAGTCTGAAGAACCGGACGGCAGACCCCCAGCGGCCGATGCTCGCCTGAGGAAGGGCGGAGGCCCCCCCTGTGCGCCAGACACTGAGCCCCAGACCGCAGGGCACTGGTTGGAAAGTGTGCGACGTGTATTTTTCTCCTTTGGGCTTTTTCTCTGTTTTCACAATTTGCGACCGTGAACACGTATTGCTTTAAGAGTCCAAAACACAGTTATTTTTAAAGGAAAATGCAGAGAATCAGTGCGGCACCCCAGAACGGGGTGGGTGGACTCCAGGCGGGGGCTGCACAGCCGCTCAGGGATTCTTTTAAACATCTAGTGCCTGAGTCCCCACGGACCTGCTGTGGCCTTGGGGTGGGCCTCACCAGGTGTCTCCACTGGATAGTCCAGGCTGGGACCTGGTGTCCGAAAATCTTACCTGCTGACCTCAGGTCTCGACCTCAACTACTGGGTCTCTTGCGCATGCTGGATTTGACGATTAGTCAATCGTCCTATTCTGGTCGCCAGCCTGTCCCCATTTGCAGATTCCATGCAACTGGCTCCTTGGTCAGCTCAGACCCGGCCACTGCTCAACCCTCAGGAGCTGCCCCCAGCCCTGTGCGGCCCCTGGGGGTGAGGAGGGGGAGTGGATTAAAACTGTCCACTGCAGCTGTGAGTGATGGGCTGTCTGTGCCCTTGTGTCCTGGTGAGGGTGACAGTGGGTGCAGTCAGACGCCACAAGGGAAGGTTCCTAGGCTCTTACCTCAGTCCTGCTGAGGGGCCTCCTGCACCTGCCTCTGGACTAGAGTGCAGCCTTGGTCAGGTCACCTTGAGGCCTTTGTGGCCTCCAGGTTGATCCCAATCCACAGGAAGGGCTTTGGGTCTGCATCTTAGAAACAAAAGCTGGGATTCAGAAAAAAATGGTAAGCTCAAAAACTACGCATTTATTAATATTTACCCCCCAAATTTAAATGTCTCCAATAATGAGAAAATCAATACTATAAAATATTATGGAATCATTAAAAAGGATCTTTGAATATAATGTTCAATAATTATAAATTGCTATACTAATAAATGAATAAGTTATGTAGGCAATGCCTCCCATCTATAGGAAAAGTAGAAGCATAACCAGGCACGTGGCCACGCCTCGACTCAGCTTCTCCGGAGCCTGAGGCAGGGGGATGGCAAGTTTGAATCTAACCTGTGCAATTTAGTGAGACCACCTTAAAACAGGAATTTTAAAAAGGGCTGAAGACATTGTTCAGTGTAGAGCCCTTGCCTAACAATGTGGGAGGCTCTGAGTTCAATCCTAGTATTGCAAAAGTTAAAAAAAAAAAATGCAAAGAAGAATGTCTGAAAGAAAATATGACAAATAGTGACTCATAGGGATTGTGAGTGATTCTTTTTTCTTGTATTTTTCCCTTCCCAAATTTTCTACAATGAAAATATTTATAATCTGAAGGAAGATTTATAGAAATTCAGTTGTAACCGGAGATGTTAAATAACAGTAGATGAGAGTAAAGTACAAGACAAGGAAGCCACGTGCAGTGGCTACACCTGTCATCCCAGCAACTCAGGAGGTTGAGGTACG